TCAGGAAGTCCATAAAACTCACCCTCGGACCCACGTGCTCGAATTTCAAAAAAATTTGAAGATAAATATTACCCATGAGCTCTTGAACACAAATATATAATTCATTCTAAATTCCTTAATCAAATCCGTGATCAAATCCCAATTTTACTTAAACCCTAGGTTCTCCACAAAATCCCACAAATTCTCACTAATTTACACGTTTAATCTACCCAAAATCCATATTTTTAACTTAAAAAAGGGGTAGAATTTACTTACCTTGTGATGTTGATGAGAATCCCCAACAAATGTGCTCCAAAATTTGCCCAAGACCAAGTGAAAATGTGGGGGATGTAGGCTAAGTCCCGATCACCCTCAGCCTCTAGCATTTTTGCTTTTGCGAACACGGACCCTCTTCTGCGAGTCCGCTTCTGCAGACTTTCTCCACTTCTACGTGTCCGCTTATGTGGACTTCTTCTGCTTCTGCGGTCTTCATCCTCTCAGCCCCTTTCTGCTTCTGTGGAAAATCACTTCGCACCTGCGCTTGAGCCTCCGCATCTATAGAAAACCATGCCTCCTCACTCCTTTGCTTCTGCGCTCTACTACCCGCACTTGCGAGATCGTAGGTGCGTTAAATTTCTCGCACCTATGAATATATCAAGCCTAAGCCCAAACCGCTTCTGTGACCCCAGGGCCGCTTCTTGCAGTCTCGCACCTGCAGCAACAACCACGCATGTGCGATCACACTAGAAGCTTTAAGCTTTAGCAATTCCTTATGTCCAGAACTCCATCTAACTCATATCTGATTCGTACCCGATGGCCTCGAGACCACATCCAACCATACCAACACATCTTAAAACATGATACGAACTTAGTCAAAGCCTCAAATCACATCAAACAACATCATAACCACGAATCGCACCCCAATTCAAACCTAACAAAATTATTGAACTTCCAACTTCGAAACCCAATGCCAAAACATATCAAACCAACTCTGATTGACCTCAAATTTTGCGCACAAGTCATAAATCATGATATGAACCAGTTGCAAGGCATGAAATCCCAAACGGACATCTATAACACCAAAATCCATATCAAGTAAAGGAAATTCTAATCTTCAAAATGCCAACTTTCAACAATAAGCGCTGAAATGCTCCAGGTCTACCCGAATCTCGATCCGAACATATGCCAAGTACTAAATCATCATAAATTGGAACTTTCAAATCCCGATTCCGAGGTCGCTTACTCAAAGCGTTGACTCAAGTCAAACTTGACCACCTTTGGCCACTATTTTGGAACTAAGTGTTTTGAATTCAACGCGAACCCTACCAAAATAAACAAACCATCCCTACAAGTCATAAATAGTAAGAGCACATACGGGAAGTCTTAAATATGGTATTAGGGATCTGTAAAGCAAAAAGACCGGTCGGGTCGTTACGTTCTCCAGCTCTTAAACAAACGTCCGTCCTCGAACGGGTCTAGAAACATACCTAGAGTGCTGAATAAGTGTGGATATCTATTCTGTATGTCCTCCTCGGCCTCCCAAGTCGCTGCTTCGACTGATTGACCCCTCCACTGGACCTTCACTGCCGAAATCTTCTTAGACCTCAATTTCTGATCCTTCTTGTCAATAATGGCAACTGGATCCTCTTCATAACCCAATCAAGTTGCATTGTACTAAAATCCAACACATGCGACTTGCATGCTACCTCTGGAGCATAGACATGTGGAAAATCGGATAAACTCCTGATAGACTGGGAGGCAAACTAAGCTCCTAAGAAACCTCCCCAACTCACTTTTACACCTCAAAGGGGCTAATAAACCTTGGACTCGGCTTGCTTTCTTTCCGAACCTTATGATACCCTTCATCAGCGAGATCTTCAAGAGAAGTTTCTCGCCTACCTTAAATGATAAATCACGCGCTTTCTCATCTGCGTAGCTCTTCTATTTGCACTGTGCTGTGCAAAGTCGCTCCTGAATTAACTTGACCTTATCGAAGGCATCCTTTACCAAATTAGTACCATCGAACCTAGTCTCACCGGGATCAAACCAACCTATGGGGGAATGACATCACCGACCTTATAAAGCCTCAAGTGGATCCATCTCGATGTTGGACTGATAACTGTTATTAAAGCAAACTCGGCCATTGGTAACAATCGATTCCACTACCCTCCAAAATCTGAACTATCCGCTCTGACTGCCCGTCAGTCTATAGATGAAAGCTTGTGCTGAGCTCTACCAGGGTACCCAATCACTCTATACTGCTCTCCAGAAATGTGAAGTGAACAGAGGGACTCTACCTAAAATGATGGAAATTGGCACACCATGAGCCAGATAATCTCCTGAATATAAATTTGCGCCAACCTCTCTAAAGAGTACATAGTAACCACCGGAACAAGTGTGTAGAATTGGTCGGTCTGTTGACAATGATCCAAACAACATTGAACTTCCTCAATGTTTGTGGCAACCCAACTATGAATCCATAGTGATGCGCTCCTACTTTCATTCTGGTATAACCATCTGTTGAAGTAGGACACCTGGCCTCTAGTGCTCATACTTAACCTGCTGACAATTCTCACACCTCATCACATACTCGACTATGTTCTTCATCATGCGCCGCCACCAGTAATGTTGCCAAACATTAGGAACACTTAAGCGACTCTAGATTAGCAGAACACCATCATCATTGATAGCAACCTCCTTAGCATCACCCTTTAGCACCGTCTCTCTATGGACCAACAAGTATGGATCATCATACTGGCGAGCATTGATCCGCTCAAATAAAGAAGGATGAGCCACAACACATGCAAGAAATCAACTGGGCTGTGAAATATCAAACTTCACAAGTCTATTAGATAAGGACTAAATGTCCAAAGCTACTGGCCTCTCGTTTGCTAAAATGAATGCAAAACTACACATACTCTCAGCCTTTCTGCTCAAGGCGGGCATCTGCAACCACATTCGCATTTCCCGGATGATAAAGGATAGTAATATCATAATCCCTCAGTAACTCAAGTCACATGCGCTTCCTTAGATTAAGATCCCTCTACTTAAACCCATTAAAGTAATGCCTCCAGATCTTGAGAGCATGAATACCGCAGCCAACTCCAAGTCATGTACGGGGTAATTCTTCTCGTGGGGCTTCAGCTGACGTGAAGCATGTGCAGTAACTCGCCCCTCCTACATCAATACACAACCCAAGGCAACGTGCGAAGCATCGCAATACACATTATACATCCCTAAACCGGAGGGAAACACTAACACCAGTACTGCAGTTAAAGCGGTCTTGAGCTTCTAAAAGCTCGCCTCACAATCATCCGACCATCTGAACAGAGCACCCTTCTGGGTCAATCTAGTCAAAGGTGCTGCAATAGACAAGGAAGCCCTCCACAAACCAACGATAATAACCTACTAACCCCAAGAAACTCCTGATCTCGGTCGTTGTGGTAGGACGAGGCCAATACTAAACAACCTTGATCTTCCTGGGATCTACCTTAATAGTCTCACCGGATACAACATGCCCCAAGAAAGCCATGGAGTCTAACCAGAACTCGCACTTGGAGAATTTAGCATGTACCTTATGTTCCCGCAAGTCTGAAGCACTAACCTTGAATGTTGCTCGTTCTCCTCCATAGTACAAGAGTGGATCAATATGTCATCAATGAATACAAGGAAAAATGAGTCAGTATATGGCTTTAGCACCTAATTCATCAAATCAATAAACTCAGTTGGGGTGTTATCCAAGCGCAAAGACATCACTAGAAACTCGTAATGCCCATATCTGGTCCGGAAAGCCGTGGTCGGAACATCCAAAGCATGAATCTTCAGCTGATGATACATATATCTCAAGCCGATCTTCGAGAACACTCTATCACCCTGTAGTTGATCAAACAAATAATCAATGCGCGACAATGCATACTTATTCTTGATGGTGACTTTGTTAAACCAGCAATAATTAATGCACATCTGCATTCTCCCATCCTTGTTCTTCACATATAACACAGGTGCGCCCCAAGGCGACACACTTGGCTTGATAAACCCTTCTAAAGCAACATTATAGGTGCTCCTTTAAATCCCTCCGCTCCATTAGATCCATGCGATAAGGCAAAGTAGAGAAAGGTTGGGTGCCTGGCACCTGGTAGATCAGCAGGAAATACATCAGAAAACTCTCGGAACCGAATCTATCAAGGGAGTCTCAATAGTAGAATCCCGAACAAAGGCCAAATAGAACAAATAACCCTTATCGACCCTGCTACGATTGTGGATACGCTCGATCCTCCGAGCTATATCCATAACCTGATGAAAGGGACTCCCCATCTTTGTCTCACAGGCCATTGAAACTCGAATCTCGGGATGCAGACCTGCAATGAACCTCCACACCTTTTCTACGTCTATGCGAAGTATAATAGATGCATGTAGAGACATGTCACTAAATCTCGCCTCGTATTTGGTCATAGACATATGACCCTGACAGAGTCGTTCAAGCTGACCCTAAAGTTTCTCTCTCTCTAAAGGTGGTATGTACGTCTCCAAGAACAGATGCATAAACTGATCCCAAGTCAAGAGAGGTGAACTGGCGGACCTGCTAAAGAGATAAGTATGCCACCATATGCGGGCCATGCCCTCAAGCTGAAAGGTGGTGAAGTACACCCCGTTGGACTCCAATATCCCATGTTACGTAGACTCTCCTTACACTGGTCAATGAAATCATATGGGTCCTCTGACCACTCACCCCCAAAGATAGACGAAGCCTCAACCATCTGTCTAGCCGTTTCTGCTGCTCAACTGTTACGTCTAGTGTGGGCTCTTGCATAGCCGCTGCAACTGGCTAGACCCCACCCACATGTAGTGTACTTAGGGTCTGGTAAATAGAAGCAGTGTTCCCTGGAGCCTGAGCAGTAGGGTTCTGTACTCCCCTTCCCACCTGATATGTGGCTGGGTCAGTTGGAAATAAACTAGCCTACATCATAGAGTCCATGAACTGCGGCATACAGCCCATGATCTCCTAAATTCATGGTGCAGTCATGAAATCTACCAGGCCCGGCTCAGCTGCAAGTGCCTCATCCTGCTCCTCAATAACAGGATCCCTCACTAGATCCATTGGTGGTACAACGGGAGCAACTCTTGGACACCCTCATCCTCTGATAGGAGCTAGATCTCTCCCCTGGCTTCGGCCTCATCCTCTAATAATGGGGAAATCAACTCCTCTACCGCCGGGTACATCTACCGCGCATGTTCTCACCATCCGTAAGAGAATAAAAGGAAAGATCTTAGCAAAATATCAATTGCATGATAGGAGATGAAGAAAGAGACGTTTCCTAAAACCCTATTGCCTCTCTAAGATAAGTACGAACGTCTCTGCACTGATCCACAAGACTCTACTTGGCCTGCTCATGACCTGTGAGACCTATGTGAGCCTAGAGCTGTGATACCAAACTATCACGACCCAAATCCAATTATAGGTCACGATGGCTCCTAACGCATTGCTAGGCAAGCCCATACGTGAATCTCCATTTTTAGTTATCTCTTTTTAACTTTTAAAAATAGAAGATTTTCTTAAATACAACAAATAAAAAAAAACATCATAAAACCGTACATATTCCTTTCCCACAATATCAAGTGTGAATAATACATAAACCATGATGATGGTAATAGTAAGTACAACAGTGCATAAATGCTAGAAGCCCCCAAAACCTGGTGCCACAAGTACATGAGCGATTTAGAGAACATACAAAAGTACTACATCCACTGTCTGAAGTAAAATAGACAGAAACTGAAAACAAGGTAGAGGGAGACTCCGGTGCTGTAGATCGAAACAAGGCAAGCAGCTCAGCACTAAGTTTTTGTGGAAGTGCATCTACGCGCCTGTGTGACTGTTGGAAGTACCTATCTCAGTACCTGCACATTCAGTGAAGAAGTGTAGCATGACTACGTAAAATTACATCTAACCTCGAAGAAGTAGGGACGAAGGGTCGACTTGACACTTACTAGTGGTCAAACAGCAATATATGTACATAAAGTAGACATGGAGGATGTACAAGTAGCAACAAAACAGATAAAAACATTAACAATAAACCTCCAACATGGACCTTCATTAAATCACTAAAACGTCCTAACCGGCCTTGAGGAACTAGCTCAACTGTCACCATAACCAATTCCAATCTCAAGTATTAAGTACGAGTCTACCAAGGAGAACGACTCGTACCCATAGGAAAATGATACTCCGTACTACCGAGGCGAATGGCCCGATCCCATAAGAATAATGATACACATTACTGCCGAAGCAAATGGCCCTATCCTATAAGAATTTTGTTACCATATTGCATAAGCAAACAGCCTGATCCATTAGAGTAATTTAAAGCACTGACGAGGTGAATGGACTGATCATATAAGAGCAGGGAAATTACCTCGCTCGCGGAAGTACATGGGAGTCGAGATGACACGGATCTATAGTTTATCAAGTAATTCACAGTTTTTCCATAGTAGAAGGCTAAGTCAATATTTATTTTAACCTCAATATCAGTCATAAATTTTGGAAATCAAATACACAGGATAAATACAAATAACACAATTAAGGAATGCTGTGAATCTAAGTCTACCCAGACATAACATAGATATATCTATGTACGGACTCTCATCACTGCGTGTGTACGTAGGTCCCCACAAAAAGTAGCACATAACAAAATCACGCTGGTGCGATCACACCAGAAGCATTAAGCTTCAGCAACTCCTTAAGGCCAAAACTCAATCCGATTCCATTCCGATTCGTAACTGAAACCCCCGGCACCCCATCCAACCATACCAACACATCATAAAACATGATACAAACTTAGTCGAAACCTCAAATTCATCAAACAACATAAAAATCATGAATCCCAACCCAATTCAAACCTAATGAAACTATTGAACTTCCAGCTTTAAAACCCAATGCCGAAATATATCAAACCAACTTCGATTGACATCAAATTTTGCCCAAAATAATAAATCATGATATGATCCCATTCCAATGCTCAGAATCCCATACGAATATCTATAAAACAAAAATCTACTTCAAGTCAAACTTAGAAAATTCTAAAACATTCAAAATGCCAAATTTCAAAAATAAGTGCGGAAATGCTCCCGGTCTACCTGAACCTCGATCCGAACATACACCCAAGTCTAAAATCATCATACAAATGTATTGGAACCTTTAAATTCTGATTTTGATGTTTTTTACTCTAAGTGTTGACTCAAGTCAAACTTAGCCATATTAGGCCACTATAATGGAACTAAGTATTCCGAATTCAATCCGAACCCTTCCAAAACCAAACCAACTATCCCCGCAAGTTATAAGACAGTAAGAGCACATATAGGAAGTATCAAATAGGGGAACAACGATCTATAAAGCAAAACAACCGGTCGGGTCGTTACAATAGATGCTCGAGTTCTTTTTTATGTGTTGCACAGTCTTGAGTTTTAGGTGCTTTGAGGTATCTTTCAAGTTGTTCATCTTTGTTCTTGGAGTTATCGGCTTTCTTAATTCAACTTCATCGACTTTCTTGAAGCTTCTTCTTTGATTTCTCATTTTTTTTCACTTGAAACCGATTCACCTATATGTTGTCCTGCTGTTTTTGAGGTATTCACTACTGGATCGGAGCTCGGACATCAAAATTTGTTGGTGGGAAATTGAATAAGGTTAGTATGGCAGTGCGGCCTTGACATTTCTGATGATTCACCTAGGTTTCGCATTATCGGGGAGTTGGTACCGCCTATTCTTCGTTTAATATCTCTGTCTCCCTTGTTAGTACCTAATTAGTTTTTGTTATTTTAAGCCTAATTCTTGATTGCCTCTAATTATTTAGTGTATATGTCTTGGTATTTTCTTGCTAGTAACTTTTTAGGGATTTCTAGACTGTAATTTGATTTCTTAGTAGTTGTTTGTTTGGCCTTCTTTTAGATATCCATTGTTATAACTAGTTTAATTCTTCCTTGTCTGTTTGTCTTATCTATACGCATTTCTAGTGGTTTGAGTTATAAGTGTTAGACCTTCCTCCGTTAGTTTAATCCTTTGTCTGTTTTAGCGATAGTTCTAGCATAATTTTCCGTAGATTATAGTGGTTGGGTGAGTGATGGTGGAATAAGGTCATGTCCTTGGGTGGGTGGGGGGGCAAAGGTGGCAGGGGAGTCTTTTGGCTGAGAGTGGGGTCCTGGAACATAGGAACTTTGACGGGGAAGTCTATAGATTTAGCGACGATCCTCCAGAAGAGGAAGATCAATATAGCTTGTATCTAGGAAACTAGATGGGTGGTCGAAGGCTCGAGATGCTGATGGGCTTAAATTGTAGGTCTCAAAACTCGAGAGGGGTAAGAACGGGATAGGTATCTTGGTTGACAGGGATCTTAGAGAGCTAGTGGTAGAAATTTGGAGGGTGAATGACAGGCTGATGGCTATAAAGCTGGGTATAGGAGGGTCTACTTTAAATGTGATTAGTGCTTATGCGCCTCAAGTGGGTTTGGACGAAGAGATTAAGAAGCACTTCTGGGAAGAATTTGACGGGTGTACGTGGCATTCTGCTCACCAAGAAGTTATTCATAGGAGGTGACTTCAATGGTCACATAGGGACGACATCTGGGGAGGTATAACGGTATGCATGATCGCTTGCCTTTAGAGTTAGGAACAGAGGAGGTACTGTGTTGTTGGACTGTGATAAAGCCTTGGATTTAGTTATTGCCAACTCGTGTTTTCTAAAAAGGGATAAGCACGTGGATACATTCTGGAGTTCGTTGGCTAAGACTCAAATTGATTATCTACTCCTCCGGAAGTGCGATAGGAGTCTGTGCATGGATTGCAAGGTTATGCCCGGCGAGAATGTCACGACTCAGCATAGATTATTGGTGAAGGACATAGAGATCGTGAGGAAAAGGAGGAAGAAAGCTGATGATGCCCAACTCTAGTCCTAAAAAGGATAAGCGGTCGCTGCAAATATAATGCGATTCAAGAGTCCGGAGTCAAATCCCACAGTGAACTAAGGCTTAGCTATAGTTGCTGACTATCACTAAGGAGATAAGCTCGAACAGTTCCTAAGTTATAAATATTAAGATTATTATATCTAATTAACTAAGTAATTAAAGTAGTAAATTAACAACTAAAGATACTACGGGTCTGAGAATAGATTAAGGAGGTCTAGAGTTATGATTTCCCCAATTGTCGGAATCCTTCCCGCTATGTTTCCTATAAATTCGCCTAAGTATTCTCTACCGATCATGAGCTCTCTGAGTGTTTTAATTCTCTCCCGAGTAACTACCACAATTTACTAGACATATTCTCCCGAATTACGCTAGCTTGCATTAAGTACGGCTCACTCGGATCGTACCAAGGTTTCGTTATGCCTAATCCCACCTTTAAACCCTCCGTATTGATTCCTCATATATGTTAGGAGTGATGTTGTTCAAAAGCTACCTAAATATGCACTCTCTCCCGAGTAATACACACTAAATAAGCATAGTTGATTAAGAGCTCTTCAACCAACCACAATAATAACGTAGTTGAAGAAATAGAGAAAATAGTACAACAAATCTATATAAACGTAACAGGAAAATCATCCTCCAAAAGGTTCCATCAAAAACCTAGATAACAAATTAGCTATTCATAATAGTATGCAAAACTACAATACTAGAATTCATAACCAATAAAGAAAATAGGAAGAAGGAAGTGAAAAACTCGTAGAAGAATTCTCCGCCTTGCTCCTAGTGTGTTCTTGCCTCCTTAGGTTGAATCTCCGGTCTCCATGACGGCTATGTGCTCTCCCTAGGTCTAAATTGTATCCAAACTCGATCTCCTCTTGGTCTGCCTAAAAAACTCCCAAAAGTGACATTTTAAGGTCTATTTATATGTTTAGGACATGACCTAAACGTGTAGGTCAACTTCTAGTCAATCCGCGAAATAATTAAAACCTTCAACACTCGGACTGGGCCTGGCCTTAGGCCTGGCGTCGCCTAGATAATGCCAGCCTAGGCCTGGCTTTAAGTTGGCTTCGCCTGGATAACGCCAGCCTAAGCCTGGCTTTAAGCTGGCCTCGCTTGGATAATGCTAGCCTATGCTTGGCTTTAAGCTGGCCTCGCTTGGATAACGCCAGCCTAGGCCTGGCTTTAAACTAGACTCGCCTAGATAAAGCATGGTCGAGCTGGCTTTTGCCCGACTTCTCCTCTTCACCGTTCTCGAGTGCGCTTTCGACGTTTAAGCATCCCTTTAGCTCTACTTTCATTTGCGATGCACCTACACATAAATAGCCTCCATTACGCTCAAACAAAGTGTATTTCACCATTAAATCATGTAAAATGCAAAGCATATAATGTGCAAAAACCATGAATTATAGCTACACATCAATACCCCACACTTAAACATTTACTCGTCCTCGAGCAATCAAGCTACACTTATGGACACAACCTATTAAGCAATTCCCTTAACTTATTATACCAAGAATGTTTAAAATAGTTTAAGCACAAAGGTGTGACATCCTCGCTTCAGTAATCGACTCACAAACACAATGCTTTATTCACAATTCACTTGCTTACTCTAACATGGAGGTCAACAATATTACCTTTCCTTTCTGAATCATGTGCCCTCACCCAATCAAAGAGCTTTGTTCCACACACCATGAATTTTAATAACGTAGGAACTCAAGATAGAAAAAGTTCACTCGCTCTCAGAAATATCATTCATATGCCCCAAATGACGTACCATAAGCTTGCCCTTAGTGTAGTACTTCACTAATTGAGTTCATTCAGTCTAAGATCAAATAGGACATTCATTGGTTGTAATGTAGGCTGTGGGTCGGGTAGGATACAGTTGGATATAAGTGACTACACCTCCCTTATACACTTTATTACACATAATTCAACCTTAAATTCTCGCGCCCCCTTTTTCTCACGAAATCGGGTTTCGATATTTCTGGGACAACTCCTTTCCGTAAGGGCAGGGAAATGGATTTGAAAGAGTCGCCACCTAACGGATTAAGGTGCGTTAGAGCACCTAGAGCAATTAACTCATATAACCAGTCTATATCACCAGAGATCGGATAAGGGCTCGAAATTACCTTGAGGGGAAGGTGTTAGGCACCCCTCGAGGTCCACAACGGTGGGTCCCGGCCAAACTTAAATTAAGCGAATTAGTCTTAAAAGGGAAGGAAGACAATTTGGACAAATACAATATTCAGCTTACATTAAACGGGGATAAGCGGTGGTCCTAAGTTTTTTAGCCTATAGGATCATTCCATGCAATGCTTTGCAACTCCCTCAAGTCGGGGTTTTATTCATAGCATTAGAGCATGGGCTGTCATTTCCTTTACTACCAAATTACTATCTTCAAGTTGTTACTTGAGCGCACTAATTGATTCTAAACCGTACACCTATGCGTGCACTACCCATCCCTTACCTATAGTCCTGGAGGCATTAGGACCTCTATTTGGGATGGTTCTAGACCACTCTATATTTCTTAAAAACATGAAGTCTAGACGATACACAAAAAGCAAATAGGACTTTCAAGTAAAGAGCAAGTATAGGCTCATATTAACCTCCACACATAAGAAACAAAAGCACGCATTTGAACCAGCAAACTTATTAATTTAAGATCCTATATGCAGGATATCTATATGAGAAAACAGGGTTCAGAAACAGATTTGTTAAGGCGAGCATTAAGACCTATTTGTTTGCCTACTGATTTTATTCGGCATAGATCTAGGCACCTCAGGCAGAAATGTGTCACAGCTTTAAACCTAGAATCATTAACAAGTTCTACGGATCTGTTGCCTAAGTGCTTTACAAGAGCGCTTCAATGCAGAATAGACTAACAGGATCCTATATGCATGATTTCTACGAGTTTGTCAATGACATACCTATAGGCATGATTTCTAAGTGTAGCACTAATTTTAAGTCAAAAGACAGTTTTACTTCTTTTAAATCATGTAGGCATGCTTTCTAATTGCTGATTTGATTTAAACCCCTATAGGCAGGATTTGTAAGTTTTAGAACTGATTTCACCCTATAGGCATGATATCTATTAGTTTTAAAATCCCATAGACATGATTTCTAGGTTTAAAACCGATTTTTATTTCTATAGGCATGATATTTATTTATCGTATTTAGAAAGAAATTACTGATTGCCAGGAAGTAAAATTGACTCAAACAAACAAGATTTTATAGGCATGGTCACCAATGCAAATTGATTTGGAAATATGTGTAGCTCCTATGAACAGGATTTCTAATGCAGAATCAAACGTGAAGTCCTATAAGCAGGATTTCTAGCATGCAAATGATCATAAAAATCCTATAGGCAACAGTACAGTATCCACATAATTTAATCAGCATAGTTAAGTCCTATAGGCAGAAATTCTACCCAATTTCAACAAAGATATGAGAATAGACCCCCCGAACTTTAACTAATTAACCCCAAATCTGTTATTACAGAGATTATTATAGCCCAGAATGAATAAATTACATAATAGTCATGGTTACACTATGGGGAGCCTTCATAGTCCCAATCTAAATCTGAGAACCAGGCCTTCAAGCACAACAGCTCTGAAGCATAGCAGTGATCCATCATAGCACATTGAAACCGGGCTTCCAGTGTGTCAAAGTTTGCAAAAAGCCTCAGGGACCCCGGGCAATGCTCACACCAGAACCACACATTTAGCACAGAGTTCATAAAAGTTTGGAAAACCAACCCCAATGTGTCAGAGTTCAAAGAAGTCTCAGGGACCCTACGCACTGCTCACACTGGGGGTGGTGAGAACCTAAATGACTAAGAGTAGGAGTTTGGAAAATCAGTGCATAAGGTAAGGGGCAAGTTTTTGAAATAGTTCAATTGAAGAGAAATAGTTTAGAATACAGAGTTGCAGGCAAAACTACTCTAAGAAACAAACAGGGTTCAGCATAAAGATCAAACATGGTGAAGTCTGATTAAGATAAGTGCTTATACTAGAATTTTAAACAGTCATGGTTTAGTCACAGAAGCAATTAGGCAGAAGCATTTGAATTGAACAGACAAGACATATGAATTAAGCACATACATACTTGATTACATGCTCATAACATGCATAAAGCTGACAAACAAATCAAACCTTAAACTAACTTCTGAGAAGATTCCTATTATTCTAAATGCTTTAGCCTTAAGTTAACAGTATTATCAAATTACCAGATAGAGGACAGAGTCATGCTAGGAATTGAACAGGTTAATCAAACAATGCATAGAGAAAGGTAATTGCAAAGGTTAGGGGAAACCAGTTGAGAAGAAAGAAAGTAAGGATGCAGTAACAGTTAAGTTCCAGAATAATTTGGCCTTGGCTTTCAGCCGGCCAAACAATAGCCACTTAGTGCAGAAATCAGAATAAGAGCAAGAGAGAGAGAGCTTAAGTTTAGTAGTGAGAATATGAGAGTTCGAGAGTTGTTCTCTTGTCTAAAGGGGAATGGGGAAAGGATTTAAATAATGCTAAATGAGGTAGACAAATAAGGTAATGAATCAGTCCTAGACAAATAAGTCATGAGAATAACTTGACAATAAATTAAAGTCGGCTACAATCAATTAATAGGACATAATAGCAAAAAAACAGGCTAGTACCACTTAATTTAGGGTAAGCATTATATGGAATCAATAAGTAGTCATGTACTAGATCAAATAAGGTAAAGAAATAATTCCAGGATCAATTTGAAGTCTAGTTTAGGGACAGATAGTACAAAGTTCGGTCAATTAACGAGTAATCAGGCAAGTACTACTCAGAATAAGGTAAGAATCAATTATCAATCAGCAAACAAGGTGAAGAAATAAAATAACAAGGTAAGGAAAGTATCAGTATTATACGAGAAAGGAAAGAGTAAAAGTCTCAAACCCTAGTTTTAGGTAAACCACAAATCAAAAGAGAAACAAGGGCAAAATAATCATATACTGTGTACAATGAACA